TGCACTCCAGTCTGGGCGACCGAGTGAGACTCCAACTCAAAAAAAAAAAAAAGAAAGACTGAGGCAGAAGGATTGCCTAAGCCCAGCAGGTCGAGGCTGAGGTAGCCACGAGCGGGCCACTGCACTCTAGTCTGGGCGACAGAGTGAGACTCTGATTCAAAAACAAAACACACACACACACACACACACACGGTAAATACTTTCACAATCACACATTTGCTAAAATCAGCTACTTTGCTAGACAATATGTTTCCTCATCAAGAGCATGGACTTCAAAGCCAGATGGCCTGAATGCGAATCTTTATTCCTGCATTTACTACCTGTATAAGTAAGTTAACCGTGCAGCACTCAGTTTTGTCATCTGTAAAATGGAGTATGTTCTATTTCTAGTTGGTTGTGAGATTATAAAGCAGTCACAATAGTGCTTGACAAGTGGTAAGAGCATAGCCATGCCTACTTTACCCATTCAAGAATAATACAATTTGCTAGATCAACTCTAAGAACTCTAAGAAAGCTTTTAAAGCCGGGCTTGGTGGCTCAGCCTGTAATCCCGTGCCTTTGGGAGGCTGAGGTGAGTGGATTGCCTGAGCCCGCGGGTGAGAGAGCTGCCTGGGCAGCGAGACCTCATCTCTACAATAAATCAAAAAATCAGCCGGGCATGGTAGCACGTGCCTGTAGTTCCGGCTACTTGGAAGGCTGAGGCGGAAGGATCGTCGGAGCCTGGGAGGTCGAAGCTGCGGTGGCCGGGAGCGGCCACTGCACTCCAGTCTGGGCGACAGAGTGAGACTCCAACTCAAAAAAAAAAAAAAAAAAAAGCAACTGTCATGTGAAAACCACAATTGAGATTAAATACTTTTCATAAAACTAACCAGAGTAAGAAGAAAAGGAAAATGTAGTGTCAACTGCATACTAAATTTTATAACCAAAATACTTACAGAGAAAAAAGAAAATGAAATTGGAAGTCTAAAAAGAAATCATTCATTGATCTGAAATAAACTTTTTCCTTTTAACAGTACCTTTGATAAGTCGATACCACTGCTTGCAGACAAGAGCCGCAGTTTTGTGTTCCTGATACGGTGACAGAAAGGATAGGATATACTCCAAAACCTCTTCTGGCAGCTCCAACATGGACCTGTTATGTCTAGTCTCCTCAACCTCCAGTACTGGGTGGGGCTCCTCATCATGCTCCATTGTCCCTTCCAACACAATTTCTTCTTGGTCCACAGCCATGAAACTGTCATCTTCACTGTCCGAGGAGCTGGCCATGACATTCCACTCTACAGCTATAGTAGGTAAGAAACAAACATCAGTATTCAACTGTAGAAAGCTTGGAAACAATTCAGGCATTTGAGTCTAAGCTGTTTATCATTTCCTTCCCACCCTCAGTATGAAATCTGCTCTTCAGTTCTTCCACACTAGTTGTGAGCTACTTTAATCTGACAGGTGCAGACCAAATACAAAGCCCATCTCCGAAGACTTCCGATTACATGTTTTCTCTTCACAGAAAACCAGAATGGCAGCTGATTTCTGGTATAACCATAAAACCAGAAAACTTGTTCTCCAACAATTCTTCTACCTCAAGGATTGAACTGACAGGTAGCAAAGGGCAGGGCAACTGGTCTCCTTAGCCAGTAACAATGATCTAAGACCTCAAACTGCAAAGGAAAAACAAACTCTGGGCCTTGAAAAGAGTAATACAAACATTCTGAGGATACGGGTTAAGAAATAACATTTTCCCTAAACTTTTCCATAAGACAATTCACTTAAGAGGAGGATATTGTTTCAAGAACAGTCTTAACTTGCTAAAATACCAAATACAAGGCAATATTTATAATAGAAAACATCATAAGCCAGGCAAAGTGGCTCATGTCTGTAATCCCAGCACTTTGGAAGGCAATTACGAGAGGACTGCCTAAGCCCACGGGTTCGAGACCAGCCTAAGCAACATGGCAAGACCTCATCTCTACAATAAATAAACTTTAAATAAATTAGCTGGGCGTGGTAGAGTCCATCTGTAGTTCCAGGTACCCCAAAGGCTGAAGTGGAAGGATCCCCAGGGTCCAGTAAGTCAACGCTGGGGTGTCCCTGGGTGTGCCGCTCACTGCACTCCAGCCTGGGTGACAGAGTGAGACTCCAACTCAAAAAAAAAAAAGAATTCGATTTCTTGAGTCTGGCTGCATTATCCACATTTGAATTAAATACAGTTGTTCCCTTGTACAATATTTTGAAAGACTATAAGCCTAAGGTCTGTTTTAGAAAAAAGTGAATCAATGGAGACAGCAAAAGGTCTTATATTACAATTTTTTCCCTAGCAAAATAAATTTGATTGAGTAAAACTCACTCTCTTTCCAAATCTTCTTAAAGTACAATTAGCAAGCCTAAATAAAGGGACTCATGCTGCTGCAATATCCAGCTTAAAGCAATTTTCACCATCTAATTGCTTTACTGTCCACAAAAACATCAAGCCCCATACACTTGAGGGCATGCTTGCTAACTTGGACCTAGGCACAGATGCCAGGAAGAATATATATACATGTGAGCTAAGGTGCAATTCCTCGGTAATTATATGCCCAACACCCAACTGCACAGCGCTTCATTTTTATTTCTTTTTTTTTTTGGAGTGGGAGTCTCACTCTGTCACCCAGACTGGAGTGCAGTGGCCGCTCCCAGCCACCGCACCCTCGACCTGCCGGGCTCCGGCGATCCTTCCACCTCAGCCTTCCGAGTAGCTGGAACTACAGATGCGCGCTACCACACCCGGCAAATTTTTTGATTTATTGTAGAAATGAGGTCTTGTCAAGTTGCCCAGGTGGTTCTCGAACCTGCGGGCTCAGGCAATACACTCACTCACCTTGGCCTCCCAAAGTGCTGGGATTACAGAGTGAGGCACCGAGCCCAGCCCATTTTTATTTCTAAGATTAGGTAATGAACTCATCACTCATACTCCCCAAGGACACAGAGGCATTTTGAAACTGAGTTTTTCCTGTTTTCATGCCAAAAGAAGTCCTACAAAACATCTCACATAAGTGCATTAACTTAATAAATACGGTTTTCATGGACCTGTTTAAAAGAAATCTTCCAGCCGGGCTCGGTGGCTCAGCCTGTAATCCCGCATCTTTGGGAGGCTGAGGTGAGTGGATTGCCTGAGCCCACGGGTTCAAGACCGGCCTGGGCAGTGAGACCTCATCTCTACAATAAATCAAAAAATCAGGCAGGCATGGTAGCGCGCGCCTGTAATTCCGGCTACTTGGAAGGCTGAGGCGGAAGGATCGCCGGAGCCCAGCAGGTCGAGCCACTGCACTCCAGTCTGGGCAACAAGAGTGAGACTCCTACTCAAAAAAAACAACAAAAAAAGAAATCTTCCTCACCCTTCATAATTGTGTTAGGTATTCTCAATCTCCCCAAAGTAATTGATTCTTTGGGAGAAACCACAAACTAAAGTCAACAAACTGGAATCCAAGTTCCCTGAGGGCAGGGACCATTGGCCAAGACATCGCTGCCTCCAAGGCACTAGGCACTGAAATGAGTGCAATCAAGACACCTCTGTCCACAGCTATTTTATAATAGAAATTACATCATTAGTACAGCCAGGAAATAGCAGATCTTTCCTTATATGTCACTGGATACTGTCAAGATACCTTATTGGTCAGAATTAATATACCTGTTTCATGGAATTTTGATCTTTTCAGGTATACACAGGCCTGAGAGTCTGCAGTTAGACTCATGAGCCATACCCCAATCACCCTTTGCTAGATCAAGAGGGATGGCGCTGAGGAAACCATTTATTTGGCCCAGCAGTATCTTTTTCTTCTGAAGAAACTACAGTACTACATCCAACTAAATACAAATCAGGTTCTAAAGTCCAAATACCTTGCTCCTCCAAAGTATAAATTAAGATTTTGAGACTGGGAGATGTGGCTACTGTTTCTAGCTTCAATGCTATGTGACCCAAAATATATTACACAGAGTAAGAAAGAAAAACCTCTATCCCTAAGTTATCGAACATTCCCCCACTTACTTCATAAAGATTCTGTAAAGATAGCAGATATCAACAACTACTCTGAATCCACTGGAGGAAATCCATAATCAACTCAAAGTGTTTGAAGATGTGATGAAATTACTTTATTATGCATGTAAAAGCTATTACTGGCGGGCCCGGTGGCTCAGCCTGTAATCCCAGCACTTTGGAAGGCTGAGGGGAGTGGATTGTCTGAGCCCACAGGTTCGAGAACAGCCCAGGCAACTTGGTGAGACCTCATCTCTACAATAAATAAAAGATTAGCCAGGCACGGTAGTGTGCGTCTGTCGCTCCAGCTACTTGGAAGGTTGAGACAGAAGGATTGCCTAAGCCCAGCAGGTCAACACTGGGGTGGCCGTTGAGTGAGACTCCAACTCAAAAAAAAAGCCATTATTGGATTTTAGTGCGATATTTGATTAATTTATGCCTGTGGCTTCTATACAACTAGACATCTGTAAAACCTCCTGGAATAAACACATCTTTAGGGAAACTGGAATATACTTCATTTACCTAAAAGGAAGTTGAAGATTTAAAATGCAATCAAGCTTATTCTTCATCATTTCAAAGGGTAAAAAAAATTAATTAAGGGAACTTCTTATAGTAAAACCATGCACCAAGACGTAACTCAAGAGTGAGGGCAGCTGGATTGATGGAGGCGTCCAGTCAACCCTCAGTATGAGGCCTCTGAGGCTTCAGGGACAAAGCAGCAACTCTGCCCAGGTGTCATTATGAACTTGTGAAGTTGCTCAGCTCAGCGGCACTACTGGGAGCCACAAAGTGCTAAATGCTACTCTTGAAAATATCAAATGTTGTTGAATGAGTGATTGATAGGAGATTGTATCATTCAAGCAACGGTATACTAAGCCTTATTAACATACTATCATTATCATTGTACCAAGTCAAATGAAAAAGGCATATAAAGTGAAAAAATGATAAAAATAAAAAATTCTACCTTACTCCATGCATTCAACAAATATCAGTGAAACAAGGAAACATTTACTATATGCAAAAATGCCGTGATGAAGTCACAAAAAGAAGATATGCCACTATTTGCTCTCAAAGAGATTAACACAGTAAAGGTCAAAGACACATAAATAATAGCAACAAACAACATTATATGATAAATGACCTATAGCACAAAACAAAAAGATTTAGCAGTTCAGGGAAGGAGGAGATAGCCTCCAACTAGCATGATGAAGAGGTTACACAGAAGTAAGAATTTGAGCTGAGCTTTGAAGAATAGGTAGGATTTCAGAGAATGAAATGGGGGAAGGTGGAGAGATGAAAAAATGTTCAAACTACTTTTCTTTTTTTTTGAATTGGAGTCTCACTCTGTTGCCCAGACTGGAGTGCAGTGGCCGCTCCCGGCCACCGCAGCCTCGACCTGCTGGGCTCCGGCAATCCTTCTGCCTCAGCCTTCCAAGTAGCTGGAATTACAGGCATGCACTACCATGCCCGGCTGATGTTTTGATTTATTGTAGAAATGAGGTCTCGCTGCCTAGGCCGGTCTCGAACCCGCGGGCTTAGGCAATCTGCTCACCTCAGCCTCCCAAAGACGCGGGATTATAAACTGAGCCACCGAGCCCGGCTCAAACTACTTTTCTTAAACCGATATCCATGCCACTTACAGAATTACCTTCAGGAAAAAAGAGTAAAAGGCATTCTTTACTCAATGAGTGTTTTTACAACAAGCATATACTATTAATAGTTTATCTACATTACCAAAGTTAGTAATCTAGAGACTAAGTACTTAGTTCCTGACAGTCAATGTTTTGACAAAAATAGTCTAGAAATAGAATAGTTTGGCATAACTACTGTTGATATTAGCAAACTGTGAACTATTTTGACAAGCAAATTCAGAGCTGTTTCTAGAAAGCATTCCAAATTTAATAAAACATATCAGCTGTACTTTTTAAAAAATGGCTAACCCATCAGTGTGTTACCCAATTAAGATTTCTGCTAATGAGGGAGAAAAATAGAGCATTCTCCCAAACTACCAATCAGTATACTTTCTTATCATTCTTTACAATAGTTGATGTTAAATGAAAACACCTTATGACAAAGCAGCTGAAATGGACCAGTTATCAGGGCCATTCTCCATACTCATCCATAGCAGTCAAAAGACTTGGTATTATTAAATATAAGTAAATGGTCAAGAAAAATGTACCGGTTTCAATCATTCATGGAGATACTCTAGGTTCTGAAAATTTCTTATGAAGAACCATATAGTTTAGGTACAGCAAAATGTTTCATTTGGTAGAAAAA